TGTGGCATCATAGCTCACAGCAACCTCAAACTCCTGGGCTAAAGGGATCCTCTTGCCTCAGCATCCTAAGTTGCTGGGACTATAGGCGCCTGCCACAACACCTGGCTAGTTTTTTCTATTTTAGTAGCGACAGGGTCTCACTTTTCTCAGCCTGGTCTTGAGTTCCTGTGCTTAGGCAATTCACCTTCCTCGGCTTCCCAGAGTGCTAAGGTTACAGCCATGAGCCACCATGCCCAGCCTCTCATAGCTCTTTTTATCTGCCCTCCAGTATTTCGAGTAACTAATTCCTTCCTCTAACAGCCCAGTATCTCACTTCCCTATTTTGGTGGTTATTATTTAGCAGCTGGTGACTGAAACCACAGAAAGTAAAACTACAGATAAGAGGAGACTGCTGTAATTATTATTATTTTAATGTTTATGCTAACCAAAGACTTCTCATCCCCTTACTTCTTACCTTCTGATTTATTCAGCAAAGAGTTATTGAGCATTAGCTTTGTGTCAGGTTAGCAGGGGAGAATACAGTGTGAGATGTAACACATTTGCTGAGCAAGACGAACTAGTACATAAGTAGATGCCCACAATGTAAGAAATATTATCACAGGAGATACACAGAGCATTTTGAAACACATAGCAGAGATACAATAGGCCAGAGGCTCGGAGTAGCCTTTTTAGAGAAAGTAAGATTTAAATTGAAACATGAAGGCTGGGCGTGGGGGTTGTTTGTTAGGCATGAGCGTGAGAAGGAGGCCATGCAGAGACCCATGCTGTCAGCTCCCCCGTCTGTGTCCTCGGCATCTGCCTCTACCTGCCCTCTCTCTTGGCCTGCGCTGCTCCCTGACTCAGCTTCCCATTCTACTTCCTGTTTTCTTGCTCTCCTCTTCACAGTTCAGGTTACTCAAGGAATTTCGTTATCTGCGTTGCCTCGACTGTTCAGTCCCTTGTCTTCAATTCCCTGCCGTCCGGTTTTACTCTCTCTCGCTACTGCCCTGAGACAGTCCCACTCAAGTCACTAAAAATGTAATTGTCCAAATCATTGGACACTTCAATTCCTGCCTTACTTGAACTTCCTACAGCATTTGATATTGTCTCCTTTTGAAACTTTTGCCTTTTTTTTTTTTTTTTTTTTTTTTGAGAAAGAGTCCTAC